TGCTACACACATCTGAATATTTGGGTTGAACTGTTCTGGAACAGTGTTGTAAATACAACTTAACCACTGATTTCTAGTCGTGTCCTCTTTTGGAAGACCAAACAAAGTAGTTTCGCTTTCACAACGAAACACGCGGCGGGCTAGAGTGAGCGGTGGCGGGCGGGCTTGAGAACGGCGTGGCTGGTGGATTCGACGAAGGAGCGGCCGGTGGGCTTGTGGCAACCACATGTGATGACCCCGGGCTGGACTCCGCTTTGTCCACGGTGAAAGCCGATCCGGCGATCCACAGCGCGAAGTTGATGAATGCCCTCAGCGACCAGCACGGATCAGCCCTAGGCATGACGAAGCGGATATCGTCCTCTTTTGAAAGGCCAAACAAAGTAGTTAAGAATACCCTTATAATGTATTATAAATATGGGCTTCATAGAAAGTGTTACCAACATTCCAATGTTTGTACTGGCCAGCAAATTTTATTTTGTAAATAGAAACAAGTTTTGATGGCTGCAACACACTCCAAAAACGTTGAGACAGAGGCATGTTTAACACTGTGTGACATCAACTTTCCTTTTAATTAAAATGTTTAATTGTTTGGGAATTTTGCAAGCAAATTTTTTGGCTAATCTTGCTTGATACAAGACTTCACACGTTTTTGACTATCTGAGATGAGCTCTGGCCCAGAGAACCCTGAGGCATCACTGCATAAAATTGAGGTTTAGCTTTGTCCTAGAGCAGAGGTCTCCAACCCTACTCCTGTGCTGCGTCCCAATGTGCCTACTTATACTACGCCCTTAAAGTATGTACTATTTTGGTGAAGAAAAAGTACACACTTTTGAGTGTGTAGTAGAAGAGTAGGCAAGCTTTGGGACAAACTATCACGTCACACAATTGTTTCACACCTGTTACACGCACCCTGTCACGGTAAACTGGCCTGTCAATCATCTGGTCACAGTTAACATCCTCCACATTTCATTTCATTTAACTTCCTACAGTACTGGAGAGAAAAGAAGTAGTTCGTTGATCTGCCAGTCGTGGGTCTTTCATGTGGATATTTTCTGCATAATGATGCATTTAAAAGTTAACGACCAAATGGATGTTTATAAAAGTTCACATTGCTGTTACAGATGAAATATAACAAGGATAACAATAAATAAGTATATTTTACCAGGTTAAATGTTGATTATTAGTAACTCAAACCTTTTTGTAAACCTCTCTACCTAACCGTCAATCACGCGCATCTGCCACATTTATAGTTTTTCTAACGCGTTTTAATCATGTTTGTAGTTCTGCACCTAATCCTTCGCCAAAGCGCAATGGATTGTGGGCAATTTTAGCCATTAGAGTGTGCACGGATCCACACTTCAAAAATCGACCTGAAATAGTAGACCATCCGGGGACTTTTGGCATATGGAATCATTCACTACCCTCTCCGTCCTTCATATTTTTAAAGTTAGACATCAAATTTCTTAGTATTCCTCAATCTATTCATTATAAGCAATATAATCAGAAAAAAAAAAATATATATATATAACAGAATGCCTGTTTCTGATTAATTTTTTTGTAAAAAGTGTATAGGATCACCGAGGTATGTAAATGTGTAAGTATATTTTTCTTGAGCAACTATATTTACATATCTGATGATATACGTGCAATGCATCTTTATTCCTCGAGGTGGCACTGTTTGATACACAATGATGAAGTGATGTTTCAGTCTACCGCAGGCATAAAACAAAAGAATATCATCAGCAAAAATGTAACTGGTTTGAATGGCTTTACTGCAGAGCAATTACTGTATGCAATGCAATATAAATGTCACTGTCATTTGATGGTGGATGTGGTGAATAAGCTGCCAGTGATCAAAATATTGATTTTGAAGTCATATTGAAAACGATTAGTTTTGAGAATATGGTTGAGATCGCGAATATGAGCCAGATGCTGAATGTATTGGGGAAGTGCTGACAGCGATGGTAAAAGCATCTGCTCAAATCTAACCCTTCTAAGTTTCAAAACGTAACGAAATATGCTTTATTTTATTCTTCCGTAATTGTTCTTAATTTTCTTTTTTAATAAATCTGCAAAAATGTCAACAATTCTGTGTTTTTCTGTCAATATGGGGTGCTGTGTGTACATTAATGAGGAAAAAAAATTAACTTAAATGATTTTAGCAAATGGCTGCAATATAACAAAGAGTGAAAAATTTAAGGGGGGCAGAATACTTTCCGTACCCACTGTATATGCAATTGCAGCAGTTAGAAATCTATCCGTGTTGGATATATTGGTCCGGGTTGCTAAAGACCCGAATATGTAATAATGATTGGTGAAACATTTGTGTATTTAAGGGTTAATTAAACTACATTTATACACATAAGTTTATGTAGCAGCTAACACACACAATGGATAAACAATACTAACTCCTCATTTGGGCACCGATTTGGGCTATTGGTAAACTTGGAAACCATATAAACATCAACTGCTCATGTTTGTAGACTGTTTATTAACATGACTTACCACTAACAAAGTATTTATTAAGGGAATGTGTGAACCTTATTGTAAAGTGTACACTAGTCCAACATTAACTGATGTTTTACTACCATTTGTAGACTGTTTATGAACATGACTTACCACTAGCAAAGTATTTATTAAGGGAATTTGTGAACATTACTGTAAAGTGTACACTAGTCCAACATTAATGCATTTGGTCTTGGTGGAATAGAGACTTGCTACTGCCAATACATCCAAAACATGCTGCTGTGTGCATGTAAGAAATACTGCTGTTGCATACAGTATATAACATAAATGAAATAACCCCCATATAGCATACATGATCACCCCGTAGCAGACCTATACAGGTGAAGCTGGGGAAGGATGGAGGGTTTCTGAAGCACGCTGCAAATACTACAGCAAGCACTAGTCATATGTAGCGTCTGGACCAATCAGACACACCATTTTTCATTTGATTTAACAAATCAATTATTCATTAGATTAACAAACGTTCACAGACCCCTCACCCAATAAACATACTGGGTGCCAAGTTGTCTGAGACCAAGGCCCAGGACCCTGGTTACCATGGCAACCCTGACACCTCTGCTAGACCAGATAGATTTTACGACCTAATGGCATGTTGAGAATTACCCCTCTCACTACATTCTCCATAGGAAGAGACACAATGCACAGTAGAAATGGACTTTTCTACTAATTAATTCATAGGAAAACCTTTCTTTGAATGAACACACATATCCTCCAGGTTATTGTGTATATTATTGCTGTCTTGTATATTATCTGTTGTATTGTAGACTATTTTATGCATGCTTATGATAGAACCACTCATTCATGTAACCTTACATATAACGTGTTTGGTCTCTATTAATTCGTATTCGGATGATCCAATTGAGAGTGTATATTGTATGTTTATACCTACGCAACATATTAGTGTTCTAAGAATCTTTAGTAATTTTGATCCAAGTTTCATATGCAAACTACTATGCTTTCAAACAAAGGGTCATAAAAACTCCCCAGGATCTCAAATCTCCCACTTGGGATTCCGGACTTTCTCATTGGACAAGCCCATCTTGAGAGGCGGGGATCTTCTCCGACCTTAAAGGCATCACTCCATGTGACCCGCCCAGAGTCGGTGGTTCTGTTAGGTTTAGATGAAGATGTGAGAAAACGCTCCAGGAACACCCTAAGTTCGTGCCAGGCTTCCGCCTCGACCTTTCCATCCATCAAGATTCTCTGACTCAAAACTGGTTCTTTTTCATCAACCAACTTCAGCAAAGATCAACTTGAACTTTTGGACTGCATCAAGCCTTTCTTTCAGACAGACGAGACGTGCAAGTATTCAAACTTAGTCTTATTAATTGATACATTAGGTATCATTTGCACCTTTTTACAAAGATGTGTTTGAACTAAGAATTTGATGTTCCCTTCAGGCTGTAAATCTGCTGAATATGCAAATGATTCCATAACTTCATTCCTTATTTCTCTCCTCTTTACTGCTTAAGCTTTAACCCCCCCCTATACCAACTGTATGCGTGTGTGTGTGTGTGGGTGTGTATGTGTATGTTAGACCAGTTTAAGTGTTTATGTAGTATGTTAGACTAGTTTAAGTGTTTATGTAGTTAATAAAACCTTACTTGTATCACACTTGACGTGGTTCATTGTTTGCTCATAACTGGAGTCACTTAATCATGCAGATTTATGCTACAAGCTCTGTGTAGAATTGTACAGTAAGAAAGTAATTTCCCTTAACCAGGAAATTAACATTCTTAGAATTGACAGACAGTTGACCCTGAGAGGTCAAGTAAATATCTACAGCGGATCTAAAATATTCATAATTAATTATAACAAGTTATGATTAATTATTCATATTTCACCATGAATGAGCTGATTCGCTACAGATTGGTGGAGAAATGCGGGCGTGATAAAACGATGGTTATGAGCCTAAACACTGTCAACCTAAAAGTGTGTGCGTGACTTGAGATACGCTGTTGTGTCCCTATTTGCTGGCTTGTTTAAATGCAGATAAAGTGGGGGCTTGAATTGGTACCGCTATTATGATTGGAAGAGTCTTTATGTATTTCATGCCTAATGGTATCAGTGTAAGGTTAATCTGATTTTAGCAAAGAAACCCTAATTTCAGTATTAAAGCATAAATCTGTTCTGACAAAGCATAAGTCTGAATCTCAGCTCAGCGGCATGTCCAAACTGTACCATAATGAATAATGCTTTAGTGAAGAAATCACAAAATTGCAGTATTGTTTAAATTGTTTCTTTGAAGAAGAAATCTCAGTACAGTTATATCAAGGTAGATTTGAGTGTTGCTCCTCTTTCTACAGCATAAGGGCCTTAGAGATTATAATTAGAGTGAAGCAATTCATCTACACTTTGACAGCATATATACAAGCCTAGCAACCTGGTGGTCATTACTGTGTTTCACTCGCTGAGTGAAATTAAAGGTGTAATACTGTACTTTAGTATTCATGTGTGAGGCACACATAACTACATATATGTTTAAACCGGCTGTAACTTACAGTAAACCTGTTTTTTTAATTCTTTAAACAAGTGCAAGAAGTTTATTGTTAAATTAGAGAAGCACTCACAAGTGCTTATTTAATGCAACAAGTCTTGAAGGACTGAAAGCACCACGTTTTAAAACTGTGGGCAACTTCTTTGAAATAGGCAGACACTAAACTGCTTGAATTGCACTGGCATGCATTGGTTACCATGACAATGACTTGTCACAGGAAGCGCTAACTTCACATAGCACACGCGACGCCAAATTTGTAAACAAACCACCTGAAGCAGCTAAGCTAACACGACTTAGCATAGTTTCATCTTAGGCTAAGCTACCAAATAGCTTTAACAATTAGGGGTTAACACTCTTTAATTGAAGCTTTTAAATACAGCATGTGTGTATGCAGTGTGAAGTAATTTGAACTTAACCTAATCCCTGGTTTCTGATTTTTCACTGTCTTTTCCTTCTTTTTCTTCTTTTTCTATGTTTACCAATCTTCAATTCGTCTCAGCGAATTTAACTATCTTAGATGTATCCTTCCTGAATGCTATTGCTCAGTTACTACCTAATTAAATCTAAATTTAATTACATTTTAACTGTCTATCTAGAGAAGAATCATTAAGTTATTGGGTGCTTTTAGTGACACAGTGAGTAATGTGCCACGGAGGGCGGGGCACACACATGGCAAACTGAACACGCAGCAGCTGTGACCAGACATGGTGTGTTGCCCAACACAAATCAGTTAATCACTAGTGCTACTGATTGTTCCCAATACCAGATTGATTACCCTGTTTTAATAATAGCAGTCAGCTAATTTTAAATCCATTTACATGGTATACCCCCTTTTGTTCCACTTTGTTTTGATGTTCTTTCTGAACCTCAAAAGGAACCAGAGACACTTCTATTTTTGATTTGTTTATTTACAACATGTGCCCTAATTTTATGACCCTGTTACACAAGTCATCTAGACAAACACTAGGGCATAACTATCGTCCTGAGCACCAAATAATAAGCATAATCTGAATAGAAATGCTCTCTTTTTCCTTCTGCTTTCCCCTTTTCTCCTTCACTTCCTCAGAGATTGAGCCTGTTTGGGGAACCGTCAGTAAATTCTGAGTGATAATTTGACAAATAAGAGTAGTCTTAAGTCATCAATCAAAACCCTGTTTACGCCCTTTTCAGCAAACATATGCTGACCCAAACCGATCTTAGCATTCACACTCTGTTTTGATCTTGTAGTAGTCTCTAGCCCTTACTCTCAACACAAGTTTGCCAAAATGTTGCACATGCTCAGACTAACTGCCCAGAATGCAGACCAAAGAGGGCTGGCCAGGCGTTGTGAGGAACACCCCCTACCCCGGGCCGACGACCACCTACTGAGCCGAAAGCAACTGGACACAGAGAAAAGAGTACCTCAGACTCAGGGCTCAAGCGAGAGTTATGACTACAAAAAGCTCACCAAGGTCATCATCTTCCTGGCCCACAACCTCATGGGATTGAAACAGGAGGTAAATGATCTCAAGCAACAGATCACGGCGGTATCCCACAAGGACCCCAGCAGAATGGAGTTACAGGAGGAAATTGATAGACTTCAAGAGACTCTGATCCAGCAGCTGAACAACACTCAAGACAAGCTTGACATGTTCCGAAGAGAACTCAGGGACTCCTATAGGCTGCGAAAGGAAACGCAGTGGGAGAGACTGTGTAGGTGTATGTTAGATGTTGGACTAGTTTAAGTGTTTATGTAGTTAATAAAGTCTTACTTGTATCACACTTGACGTTGGTCATTGTTTGCTCATAACTGCAGATTTATGCTACAGGCTCTGTGTAGAGTTGTACAGTAAGAAAGTTATTTCCCTTAACCAGGAAATTAACGTTCTTAGAATTGACAGACAGTTGACCCTGAGAGGTCAAGTAAATATCTACAGCGGATCTAAATATTTATAATTAATTATAACTAGTTATGATTAATTATTCATATTTCCCCATGAATGAGCTGATTCGCTACAACATTTAGGTAGATCGGGGGGCGCATTCCCTTCAAAAACAAAGGTAATCCATTGCGTTTTCAGTGGCTCAGATTTTGGGAGTAAATGACGGCTTCTTCATTATAACATCCAACAACAGAACACCTCAATTGCTTAGGAGCCATTCTTGTTTACTCCTGCTCTGGCGTCGAAACAATGGCGGACTGATGACAGCTCACTTAGGGTGGGTCTAAGGTAAAACACCAGCGTCAATCAACAATCGTGACAGGGGCCTGGGTCTGTGTGACGTCACACAGACAGGCATCTGAATGGCTTGATATGAGAAAGAGGAAATTATTTAAGGCGATTAAAAAAACAAAAAAAACACTGGGTGGATCTTTATCAATATAGGGTGGTTGTGTACAACAATGTCATCACACATTTCAGTTCAAACAGCTTGTAAAAGTGTTTTGGAAAAATATTTTGGATTTTGAAAAACCTGTTGACTTCTGCCATTTATCTAAGGTGATATAGTTTTTTTAAACATTCGTTTTTTTCATTTATTTGGTTCCACAGTGTTTGCTGATTTTTATTTATTTAAACTGTGTATTTTTGTTTCATTTTAAATCAAGTATGCCATGCCTCCAAGCTTTCTTATTCATTTTGCTAATAAGCGTACGTTTCTTATTTATTTGGTCCACAGTGTTTACTGATATTCAGTTTTGTATACCTAAACTTTGTGTAAGTTATTTGTTATTTTATATTAGAAATATAGCATGGTGTATTTTTATTCGTTTTGTTAATAAAGTTCTATGTTCTACGTTGTATTTTGTTGTTGCTTGAATTGAATTCAAGCAATTGACGCCGAATTGCAGCTAATTTGAAATTGAAAGTAAAATGCGCACAACACTTTTAAGCTATTTAAAAGTGAAGGAAATTGAGGAAAAGAGGGAAAACTCAAACGAACGAACAACAACTGCTTGACACCCGAATTGCTGTTAATTTGAAAGTGAACGGCACTTTTACAAGCTATTTAAAATGAAAGGAAAGCCCGTAAAAGGGGGAAAACTACTGTTACATCTCGGGTCTTTTGAACTATGTGTATGTATTTCTGAGTGTGTCTGTGCAGAAAAAGGCGTGGCCTGTACTCAAGCCAGCAGAGATCCTGACTGGTCTGCTCCTGATTGGTCCTGTCCTGGTTCCAGTGAAAAGGACCTAGCTTTGCATTCCTTGCCGTCTATACATGAAATTTTTGGTGAAATTGGTGCTTATGGCCAACATTGAATGTATGTATACTGTATGCACAGACTTTGTACAAAATGTCGTTGGATCAGAGAGTACCGGATATTCTTCTACTGACGTATCTCACGTCTTTGATTGTATAAATGTCCCCTGTAAAATGTAAACCAATGTACATAATAACAATTCAATATATATATATATATATATATATGATGGATGGATGCTTAAGGTCAAGTATAATTTCAGATTATTTAATAAAATGTATAAACGGTATACAACTGTGTACAACATTTACAAGAAATGTTGCCAGTCATCTCCACACCAATGGACAAAGACCTCCTCAAGGAATGCAACCTTAAAAAAGAATAACAGGGGAAGACAGAGAAAAATAGAGAAGAGTTTGTATTTGTTGTTTATACTGCCAACAACAGTCTTGCACATAAAAATTTCACCGCTGGTACACTTGTGTACAAGATGTGTAACAAAGAGATTTGATTTGATTTGACTTGACTTTATTTGATTAGAAATTGCATACGAAATAAAAGAGTGAATTCCACTGCAGTAAAGACTCTCTTCTAAAATCTTCTCTTCAAACAAACGAGGAAAGCTTTTAAGAGAGAAAACAGAAGGTGGGGGTTAGGGTTAGACAGAGGTGAATGAGAATGAGTTGACTTAAGCAATCACAGAAAATTCATAATTACATAACAATACTGGTATCTTTAATCTGGAACAATGTTGAGAGATTTGGATGTACTATATACTTCGTGGAAGGCTGCATGGCCATCTAACCACTCAACAACAATGAACGCTGAACCACACAAGAGAGAACATCCTGAAAGAGGTGGAGGGGGATAATGAGTCACAAGATCACATTATCTTTAGCGTGAAACGCTACATCGTTATGAATTATTATAAAATAATA